CACCGCCGCCGCCACCGCCGCCACCGCCACCGCCCCATCAGCAGCAACCGCAGCCGCTGCCGCCGCCGCTGGAAGCGCCGGCAGTCCCGGCGCCGGCGCCGGAGCCCGCCGCTCAGCCCCCGCGGCTGAAGGATCCGTCGAAGGAGCCGCTGCTGCTGGTGGGTGATTTGTTCACGGCGCCGGGCCCGGGAGAGGCGGAGGAAGGGGAGCTTCGTTGGGAGCAGGAACCGGGCGGGGTCGTGTCCGAACAGAGAGGCCTGGAGGTACAGAAAGGGGCGGGGCGTTCGCTGTGTGTGTTTTGCGTGTGTCTAATGTTGTATGCGTTTTTTTTGTCCTATGTACGTGTTCTGCAGAGATGTGCGAAGAGGAGGGAGACGGAACCGCAGGTGGCCGTGATGTGATGTTTTCGTCCGAGGACGTTGTTTTGCTCGCTGCTGCGAGACGCGAGCGCGAAATATTGAGAAATGACTGCTGTGCTACCGTGCTTTCTTGCCGCATATAACTGTGCCGCGATGATGTGCCCCGACGGCGTGGACAATCGTAGCACATTGGCCTAGACTTGCCTGTGTTTCCGATTTCCTGTCGAACGGCACGATATCTATCTATCTCCCTTTGGCCCCTCGAGTCCACCAGCCTACCAGATCGTGTTCGTTGAAACCCAACTAACCCGACCGCGCCACGCGTTGACGGATGGCCTGCTTCATCAGGCCGCCGAGCACGAGGCGCGTTTGCTTACCTGTGCGTTGCCGGCCTTGCGTTTGCTGCGGCATTGCCTGGGCCGTCTCTCGGACGCGGGCGCGGAGCCTCCCGTCGGGCCCTTGGATGCTGTGGGAGCCTTGCTGGACTTCGAGGTATGGTCTAACTGTTATCTTTCTCCGTACGGCCGCTCACTGACTCTTTTGTGGTGGTTTTAAGTATTCTTGTTTTGCGCAGACGCGAGCGTTTGGCTCTGGGAGACAAATGCTAATTCGGTTGTCACTGTTAGAGTTGTTGCTGATTTGCTATGTAGTCCAGTCCAGCGAGTCCTTGTTGGGTTCGTATGAAACTGCCGTGTCGCCAAATAGCACAGATGTGGGTTTCGGTATCTAGTGCCCCTAAGGCTGCTACTTATTCCCTGTTCTCGTCCCCCCGGACCGCGCACCCCTACCCTGGACGCACGGTCGCGCGCTCTTTTTTTTTGGGGCGCTCCAGGCGGCGCTGGCGATGCTCCCGCTGGACCTGCCGCCGTCGTCACTGCCCCCCGGCAGCGACGTTAAGCCTTCCCCCTCCCGGGGGGAGTCCTGGGACCTCGGGGCAACCCCGTCCGTGGCTCTCGCTCTGCGCGCCGAAGCCCTTGTGCTCAGCTCCTGCCGCCTGTGGTGCCCGCCCCGACCTTGGTCGCGGCTCCGCCGCAACGGCGGCGGCGGCGGCAGCAGCAGCAGCTTCCTCCACCGCGTGTCCGCGCACGCGCTCGCGTGCCCGGCGAACCACATGAGCGGGGCGCGTCTCCTGACGGCCCTCTTACCCCCCGAGAGCCCGGCGGCGCTGCACCGGCTGGTCTTGCCGGTGGCGACGGCGGCGGCGGCGGCGGCGGGGGTGGCGGCCGCCGCCGCCGCTGACTCTAGCACTTCGGACGGAGGCAGCGTTGGCCGTCTCGTGGGGCGGGTGCACACGGCGGCGGCTCTCGAGCAGTCGGAGGGCTTTCGGCGGCAGGCCGTGGCGGCGCTCGAGCGCCGCGTCCGGGAAATGCTGAAGCGCTGGGACGTGTGCGTCGCGGGGGACCTGTTTCCTTTGAAGGAGGCGGCCGCCGCCGAGGCCGGACCAGACGTTGATGGCGGCGGCGCGGGCGAGGAGGGCACCGGGGACAAGAGCGGGAACGGGGCGTTCGACGGCGGCGGGGGTGGCGGCGGGGGGTGGCGGCCGTCGCTTGAGACGAACCCCGTGCTCGCCGTTACCGCTCCGGGGGTGGTGAACGTGCCGGCGGTGGTGCTGAGTCTGTGCCATTCGGCGTCGCCGGTCTTGCACGGGAGGGTGCTGGAGCTCGCGCGGAGGTGTGTGTGAGGATGGACCGACGACTTGGGAGGGGTGTTCGTGTCCTGGTTTGGCGTTTGTACTACTGTAGGCCCGGGATTTGTCTCGTCAATGGCGGCAGGATTTTTGTTCTCCGGCGGTTTCGAAGCTTGGGTTCGGGTTCGCATCGTGTCCGCGGCCGTGTGCCCCGTGTGTCGTGTGGCACGGCCATTACCATGCTCCGTGAATTTACCGCGAAATGAGGTGGAGGCATCGAACGTCCCACCATGCTGCATGGGGTCGTCGACGTGTTGCGAACGGACATTTATCCCGTTTGAGGCTCGTGACAGCTTGGGGTCAGGTTACTTGCTCACCCATTCAAGGGCCGTGTGTCGTGCAGTGAACAGACTTCTTTATCGCCACGCGTGTTCTAACTTTGACCCCACCCATTCTTTGCGCCATCGTTGGCACGATCGCATGAATTCTTGTTTGCATGTGGATGGCTTGGCGCAGGGCTGTGGGCATCGGGCCGATGACGGCGAGGGCCCTCTGCGCGTCACTCGTGCGGTCGCTGATTGGATGCATCGAGCGCTACATGGGACAGTCGCAGCCGCTCGACGGAAGGGTGAGTTGGGTGTGGTGCGGCGACTGCGGCTCCCCGTTTGTTACAGTACGCCAGCATGAGTTCAGCGAGAGACCCATCTAGCACCGCCCGACCAATCCAGTGTTACTCGCATGTACCGGCGCACGTACCCCATGGTTATGCCATTGTAGACACAAGCCGGACGCGTACCATGTGATTTTGTACACAAAAGACCGGGCAACCATGATATGAAGTAGTGATCTTGTACACAACGACATGTACACAAATGACACCTCTCGCGTACCCCCCCCCCCCCTCTTCCTCCGCTCCATGTCACCATCGGCTGACCGATCAATGATTCGATCGCCCCCGCTTGTTCCGTCGAATTACCCCCAAGTCTGACAAGGACCGCGAAGTGTCGTGGGAGTCGGTGTGCCGGGTGCTGACCGTCATCCTGGCCGTCTCCGACAACCCCCACTCGGGCGCCGGGCGGGTCGGGCTTCTCCTCGGCGGGGTGATCGAGGCCCTCATGCCCTGCCTGGGCCTGCCCAAGCCGGAGGTCATCCGCTCCGCCCTCGAGGTGTGTGTGTGTGTGTGTTGGGTGTTGGGTGGCGAGGGGGTAGAAGTCGTGGGCGTTGTTTTGGGGCTTCGGCAGGAGTGCTGCTGTAGAATTACACGGTTACGGAGGTCACCCGTGCTGATCACCCCGTTTGGCTCGGTGCGACTGCTTGCTGCTTGCATGTCCGCGGACAAGAATTGAGCGTTTGTTCTCGCAGAGAGGCGAGCGCGGCGCTTTTTTGTTATTATTGGTTTACGAATTGTCGTGGAAGTACAGTACGTGCATAGACTCGTTTCGCAATTTACTTGTTCTTTTTTCGCGACCCTTGGTCTTGTCTCTTTGTCTTGTCTAGTCTCTCTCTCTTCTTCTTCTACCCATCTTCCTCCCTCTCTGTTCCCTCTTCCCTTCCTCCCCTCCCCCCGTTGCTCATTACTACGCTACGCTACCCTACCCCGCACCGCACTGCTGTAATACACGGCACATGCACACACCCTCCAGCAACTAACCCCATGTCGCGACACGTTCGGTTGGACAGGTTCTGTGCAGTTTTGTGGAGGGGGCCCGCGTGTCGGAGGTTAGGCGCTACTCGGAGCCGGCGTGCTCTTTCGGGACGCTGGCCACAGCGGCGAGAAACGTTGTCGCAAAATGGTGAGTGCCTTGTTAGGACAACGACTCCAACTGACAACTGCAACTCCTAGCTACGACCATGACGACTGCCACTTCGACAACTGTATCAACAACAACAACAACAACATCAACAACAGGCATCGTGTCGATCTCCACGTGCACGCTTGGGGCGCGAGGCTCCTGGCGACGCTGGCGGCACAGCCCTCGGTAGCCGCGGACGCGCTGCAGGCGCTCAAGCCGAGGGGGGCGGAGGCGGCGGGCGTGGAGGCCCAGGAGGGAAAGACCACCATGCTTCTCCCTCGCCTATACGCGGGACTCCAGAAGGGTCTGGAAGACACCGGTGAGTGAGTGCATCTTCCAGCGGTCGAGGAGGGTGTTGAGGAATCCAAGTCGCGTTGGCCACCCCCTGTACTGTACATATGTGCATCGAACGATTGGTGGGTGCTCCATAATAGGATAGTATGATAAAATGTCTTAAGGAAACAAAGAAACAAAAACAAAAACAACGCAAAACAAAACAATACAAAATAAAACAAAATAAAACTACTACATGATGGGGCTGGAAGACCCCGGTGAGCGAGTCAGAGAACGTCCTCTTTCGCACTCCTTCGCCGAGAGGAAGAAAAAAAATATATAACGACGGTTTTGATGATGTTCCTGGTCCGCGGTGTTGCGTGGGCTGTCGTTTTCCTGGGTGGATGGGAGAGAGGACGAGTGCTTCTTGTGTCTTCTTGTGTCCGGGGCGGGGGGGGGTGGACGGAGCCTGTTGTTGGGGTGGATGAGGTGGAATTTCTACGCACGGCGGTTGGTAGAAGTAGACTGCAGAGGCGGCGGAGGCAGTCTCCTAGAAGTATCCTGTTTCTGGTGACAGTGAAACGGCGCGAGATGCGGTGGTCATGCGTATAACCACCAGTATTATTCTTTGGCGAGGATGATCCGGTCGTGATGAAAATACTTGTTGCGGCGGCGAACTTGCAGGAAAAAATGACGACAACCGATTTACGTTGTAGAGGCAAGCGTGCTATTAAAGCTGGCTGTGCCGCTCTTCGTTGGAATCATACGACAATGCTCGTCGCATGAAGTTGGGGGGGAGGGGGGGGCGATTTTCGCTGTGCCGCCCGCCGGATGATACTAAAAACCTTAACCCTTAACCAAGCATGAACGTTTCGTGTGGTTGCCTTGAGCACCGAAACAGGTGGACCAATCAGAATTTTGCGCCCATGTATGTAGGAATTTACAACATCGGATTGCTTATGCTTTTTTACATCCAGGCAACCGTTACAAGCACCGGCTGTCGCTGCTGAAAGGGGGGCGGGTATCGGAGCAAAAGGGGCTGGACCTGGATCGGAGAGTCTTGAGGCTGGTGCGGGCGGCGTGCTGGGCGATACAGGTACGTGGCTTACCACTCGTTCGGAGATACAAGGACCATTCGGGTACTACCGTGATTGTCCCAATGGTCCCTATATTTCCGAACAGACTGGTATGCGCCTATCCTTGGGAGACAAACAACACAGAGCCACCAGGACGCAACCAATAGTGCGTAGATCGTAGCCCGCTACGTGTCGTATGCTTTTGAAGGAGATGTAAATGTTTGATTCGATGACTTGGGTATGGCGCGCGACAGCACACAAAAAACAGTCTATCCTTCGTGTTGCGGTGTTGGCACTGGCCGCACGTGGTCGTGTGTTTTTGCACGCAAACTGACAGTGTTACCCCATTTCGGTTCTAGCCATCGCCCCCCCCTTACCGTCACCCTGCACACACAAAGCACCCGCACGGGTGTGCCGTGTAGATCTACTCGTACGCCGACCTCTTTCCGTGCACGGGTAAACAAACGCGCGCACACCGATGCTTGTGTTTGTTGTTGTTGTTGTTGTTGTTGTTGTTGTGATCATGGCGCATCATCACTCGCCGTGGCATCATCACGCAGGTACCACTGGCCCTGATGGAGGAGGGTCTGGTGGACGCGGCGGTAGTGGCAGGGGTCCTGTCGCCGAAGGGAAAGGCGTCGCCCCAGGAGGAGCCGCTCTTCAAGATCAAGGCCGCCGCCGAGGCCTTCCGAGACTTGCGCAAGTCCATCGTAGACACTCTAGAGGTACGGCTGTGCAGCAGTGATGAACCGGCTCTTTTGTTTTATGCCGCGTTGTTTGAGAGCCCCCTTGTTTTGTTTTTTTTTCCCAACAGTAAGACATGTGCAGTTGTTGTTGAAATATGTAGATACCTGCCAAAGACACGTCCCGTGGCCGTGTACAGGAAAGCGGGTATTCTCGGTCTCTCTTACCTACACGGAAAATTTGATGGTTTTAGCGACGAAACGAAAGAATCATCCACACGGCCACGCGTAAACGACTACCATATGATATGATATGATATGATATGATATGGTATGATATGGTATGGTATGACACAGGCTGAAGCTTCCAAGAAGCTACAGGCAGGCGCCAAGACGGCTACAACACCATCAAGTGCGGTAGCGGTAGCGGCCGCGGCGGCGGCCGCCGCCGTTGGCGGGGGAGAGGGAACGGGAGTGCACGCCCTCCTGACCGGTTTGATGGCGTCCGAGCGCTACCTCGTGGGGCTGGTCGACGGCACCGGTCGGCTGTGGGCGGCGTGCGAAGCGGTGAGGGGTGTCTTTGTTGTGCTTTGATTCTGCGGGGGGGGGGGGGGGGGGGG